AATTCCATACTCAGAATCAGCTGCAAATCAAAGCACTTACTCTAAAGCTGGAAGGATTGAGAGAGGATAACACAGAACATAGATGGGAAGACTGGAACAATACCAGAAGAGACCTCAACAAAGCTCATCAAGAAGAGGCCCTATATTGGCAGCAGAAATCCAAGCTGCAATGGCTAAGGCATGGTGACTCCAACTCTAAATTTTTCCATGCTTACACAATGCAAAGGAGGAGGATGAATGCCATAACTAGACTGCTCAATGACAGAGGGGAGGAACTCACAACTCAGGAGGAGATACAGGAACATATCCAGGACTTTTACAGGTCTCTATTCAGTTCCGAAGGGTCTTGGGGAGGAGATTCCTTACTGCAGCTGGTTAGCCCTTCCATTTCAGCAGAGATGAATCAAGCTCTGTTAAATCCAGTTGAGGAGAATGAGATTAAAACTGCATTATTCAGCCTCCACCCTGATAAGGCTCCCGGAGAGGATGGTATGAATGCTTTATTTTATCAGCATTTTTGGTCTCTTATCAAAACTGAATTTGTTGCTGCTGTGATGAGTTTCTTTCATTCTGGGCATATGCTTCAATACTGGAATCATACCATACTTTCTCTGATTCCTAAATGCAATTCTCCTGACACTGTTGGCAAGTTTAGGCCTATTAGTCTTTGTACTGTGGTATACAAAGTGATTTCAAAGATTTTGGCTCAAAGATTGAGAACCTGCTTAGATGGCTGCATCAGTGGATATCAATCTGCTTTCATTCAAGGCCGGCAGTTACTTGATAATGTCATTATAGCTCAAGAGGCATTTCATTTTCTCAATAGACATGCTTCTGGGAAACACTATTTTATGGCACTCAAGTTTGATTTAATGAAAGCCTTTGACAGAATTGAATGGATGAGCATCAAAAAGATCATGATTAAGATGGGCTTTCATTTTGATTTTGTTAAACTGATTATGGCTTGCATCTCTTCTACTTCCATTGCCTTCAAAGTTAATGGTGCTATTAGTGGCTTTGTTAAACCTTCTAGAGGCATAAGACAAGGGGATCCACTATCCCCTTATCTCTTTATTATTGTGGCTGAACTCCTCTCAGCTTTGGTTCAGAATGCTATTGACTCTGGACTTCTTCATGGGCTGAAACTTTCCCAATCAGGGCCTCAAATCTCCCATCTTTTATTTGCTGATGATTCCCTGTTTTTCTGTAAGGCTGGAAGTGACCAAGCTTGTGTGTTGCTGGACATTATGAACAGATATAAACTCTTTACTGGTCAAACAGTTAACATGCAAAAATCTGGCATTTTTTTCAGTAGAAATACACCATCCACTCTCAGGGAGAATATTTGCTCAACCTTACATGGTATTCAGTCTCATAGATCTACAAAGTATTTGGGTTTGCCCCTGGGCATTGGCAAATCTAAAAAGGATACTTTTGCATATTTGATTGAATCCACTCAGAATAAACTCCAAGGCTGGAAATCCAAACTTCTATCTTCTGCTGGCAAGGCTGTTATGCTTCAATCTGTTTTGCAGGCACTGCCAATTTTCACTATGTCCTGCTTTAAGTTGCCGGTTGCTATTAGCTCAGCTCTGTCAAGCTTATGTGCCCAATTCTGGTGGAAAAACAGCTCAACTGAGAATAAGGGGGTTCACTGGAAAAGCTGGTCAAAAGTCACAGTTCCCAAGCAGAATGGAGGGATGGGGTTCATTGACATCAAATTGTTCAATACAGCTCTAATTTGCAAACAGCTGTGGAGAATTACTTCTCAACCTGATTTGCTGGTGAGTAGGGTTCTTAAAGAGAGGTATTTTCCTAACTCTTCCATATTTCATGCTGCAAAAACTCAGAAAGGTTCTTGGCTTTGGAACTGTTGGCTTGAAGCCCTTCCTTTATTTTCTCAATGGCTGAAAGTGGAGATTAGAAATGGTGCTAATACCAGAATTGATGATTACAATTGGATCCCGAATATTAGACATAAACCTGTGATGCTTGACTTAGCCAGAAATTGCCTCATTTTTGTTAAAGATCTAATGCATTCTTCTGGTATAGGCTGGAATGATTGGCTAGTGCAACAGGTTTATAACCATGATGACAGTGCTGCAATTCTGAGCATTACTACTCTTAAGCCAGACAAGGAGGACAGAATTTATTGGGGACTGGAAAAAAAAGGCAACTTCTCAGTGGCATCAACTTACTCCCACCTAGTGCAACAAAAAGTGCTGCTCCTTGACACTCCTGAAAGCAGTGATAGTTCCAAGCCATGGCAAAAGGCACTGAAAAGAACCTGGTCACTCAAGGTACAGATGAAGCTGAAAATATTCATATGGAAATGCCTCAATGAATCTCTGCCTGTTCTGACTAATCTCAGGAGGAAAGGTTTGGACATTGATGTGATCTGCAAAATATGTGGAGATGGTCCTGAAACCTTGGAGCATGTTTTGCTGAACTGCTCTAGAGCAAAGAAGGTATGGCAGCATGCCCCAATCACCTGGCAAGGCCTATCATCTTACACTGATTCCTTCAGAACATGGTGGCAGCAGATTTGCTTGATCAAACACTCTGAAATAGGTGAACACCGAATTGAACTGACAACATATTTGTTATGGTGGCTCTGGAAAACCAGAAACCAGTGGATTTTTCAACATTCAATTCCCCCTCCTCACATTACATTCAAGGCAGCTCACTCGGACTGGATGGAGTTCTCTTTTTTATCTTCTGTAGATTGTTCTTAGTTGGGTTGTTCTTAGTTTGGTTTTTTATGCTTGGTTTGTTTTGTTTGTAAGGGGCTCGTAGTTGGCTAGGCTTTGAGGCAGTGGTCATCTCCTGTTCCTTTTGGTGTTTGTTCTTTATTGTGATTGTATTTCTGAGGCTCTAGGGCATCTTTCAGATGTTCCTCTCATGTTGTTGTTAATGTTTCTGGATATTGTTTTCGAGCTTTGCTCGCTTTTATAATAGTTGATTCTATCGTTTCGGAAAAAAATCCGATCATATTGTGAAGGTTGTTACAAAAAAGATATTGATCGAAAATTCGAACCCCTTACCAAATTTTCGTCTAAAAGGTTTACCAAAATTCTTAAAAACCATTATGACATGTGGATTGTAGGACATTACTTATATTGGTAAGTCAACACTTTATTTTGTAAGTTAAAGTTACTATTTAAGTATTTTTCCAACAACCTCTTTATATTACTATAGATTTTGCATACAATTAGGATATCTTTAATTCCATCAAAGATATATTAACTTTATAATTAGTAATTCCCTCTATGTATAACTTCAGAATAGGTTGAGCCTACATGGCAAACTCCCACACTTCGGAATTCTATTTGCCAAAAAACCATGTTTTGGAGTTAGGCTTGGATTCAAATTAATATTTTTTATCACACTAAATCCATGATTGATGTTTTCCTTCTTTACTTCTACAATTAGTTACCATAAATTATTTTATATTTCTTTTTCCTATATTACCGTACATTACATTTCATTTTCTTATTTAATTCATTCATTAGTTATTATGAATGTTTCTTCTTCTTAATTTAAGATTTTATGACTTTTTTGGTTGTATTTATTTCTTATATATGATATATCAAATTAACTATCTTTTAACGATTTGCGATTTGACATTAATATTATATATATATATAAAGTACAAAATAGTAATATATATTCTTATAAATAAAACTTAAGTTTATTTATCAAACTAAATTAAAAGATATCAAATAAAACTATAATTATATTATAAAGTAATAGAAATTGGTATGTATTCTTTTAAAAATGATATTTATTTCAAATCTAATTGATATGTTATCAATCTAATAAAAATAAATAATTATTTATCTGAATTCTAAAATTACATATAAAGTTAGAAAACTATGAAGCACAACGGATACTACACTTGATGTATTAGGCATCTAATTAAGTAAAAATTAATCTATTTTGCTTAATATTAAACAAACATATTTCTGCACTTATGCATATACATATCACCATATTATTTCTATTTATTTAAGATATATATTTTTTTACTTAATAATAGTAAATAATATTGATAATTTTATATGATATAAGTTAAAACATTCAACATGAGTTGACATTTTCATTTAATATACGAGTGTTTAATTATTATGATTAAAAAAAATATAATTTGACAATTTAATTAAAACTCAAAGTAATGTTTTATATTAAATTAAGTTATTTTAGATTAAAAAAATTAATATTTTTACATATATTTCCTAATTCAACACTCGTGTATTTACACGGGTATTGTACTAGTAAATAATTAAATAATTAACATTGTATATTTACTCGTTAATAATTTTGATAGATAGAAATTTATAGAGAAAAAACATCTGTCTATATTTATATCTACACTTACAAAAATAGATATCAATCAATAGTATGCTCAATTTGTTGTCTATTTTCGGTTAGCAAATGAAAGATATTGATGAGCATAGATATCAATAAATAGTATGCTCAATTTGTTGTCTATTTTCGGTTAGCAAATGAAAGATATTGATGAGCTCTATAATTCATGATCGATGGTGGGTTCAACATAATTTGGTGGTCTACACCCCATGTTAAGTGGGTGCTACTTCATCAAATCTAATGGTCACTTGTGAGCTTTCAACATCCAAGGGTCTCAAATAAAATAACAGAATGATACCTATCTTTATATGCTATATCAGTGTTAGTATGCGTAGTTGTAGGATGTTATTGTGGCTAGTTGAATTAAATCTCAATCAAACCCAAATTTGGCGAAACAGTCACAACGTAAGAAAGTAAGCTTTTATACAGGTGATGTAGATTTAAGTAGATTATAATATGTCAAGAGGATAATAATTACCCAAAGACGAAAAATAAGTCCCACATTAAATATCCATCTCCTAGATAGAGAGATGCACGTTGCTAATTACTATGAACCGACATCACATAATTCTACTTCTCTAGTGCTACAAAAAGGGATCCATATGTCTTCGGATAATTCGTGAGTATCACATATGAATTACTTAGATATGGATTTTGCTTTCCTATTTTGTGTAGTGAGGTCTTATATTTTGATTATGCTTATTGGAGCATCTGCAGGCGCCAATAATACAACATGCCTATTTCAATCTTTGTATCAGTTTGGTGATTCAATCTCGGACACTGGGAACTTGGTTCGAATACCACCTTTCGGCCCCTTTCTTCCCGCTGCTCGCCAGCCTTACGGTCGAACTTTCCCTGGGAAGCCGACTGGCCGATGGTCCGATGGCCGACTCATCATTGATTTTACAGGTAACAATATATGACAAAACAAATCATTTGAAGTAAGGTTAGGAGATAGCACTTATAAGGGTAACAATTCAAAAAATAACTTTGTTAAAAAAAAAAATAAAAATAAAAAATTAAGTTGGTCGCTAAAATAATTTGACTCTTATTATTTGATATAATTTTGTATTCGGAAAGTGCTCGCTAAAGGGAATACAAATATGTGTCACGTAATTTACTTGATTATTAGTTTGTTATTTATGACTAATATTATAGATTAATCGGAAGTTAATTTCATAATAATAAATGCAAGTGCAGCTGCTTCGGTTGGGCTTCCACCGTTGAATCCTTACCTGAAAAAGTATGCTTCTTTTGAAAATGGTGTAAATTTTGCGGTTGCTGGTGCTACAGCGCTCAACATGTCTTTCTTCACATCGAAAGGCATAATTGTTCCGCTAAGTGTTGGCTCCCTTGCCCGTCAGCTAACTTGGTTTAGGAGACATTTAACCACTATTTGTTCTGGGCCATCAGGTAAACTTTCATATTGTTAATTTAAGTTGCGTTTAATTAATTGGTACAGGGAAACAATACTACGTTTATATTATAAATTAGATATATAAATAATATTAATAATGATTTACCTACTATTTTCGAAATCAGATCAGACCGGAAATCGGTTTATCGATCGGTCAGATTTGATTGAGAAAAAGCTTGCTAGAGAATCGGTCGGACTGGTAAAAAGGATCAATATGATTTTTTAAATAAATTTTGTTACATATAGAATTATTATAATATAAATAAAAGTTCATATTTAAGTAGAATGAAATTTATAAAGTATTTAACAATTAGTTTGAACATTTGAAAATTTTATTGTTCACATACCTAATTAATATCTTTTATATAAATTTATTACAAGAAGTACAATATATATTATAGTAATAAATTATATTTTTGTCCAACAAATAAATCAACAGCAAAGACCAGAATAAAATGACAGACACCAAAATAAGATAAAATACATACAGAAGCTATACTCTAAACAAAAGGCTACTCCTCAGAAGTCAGCAGATCAGCAAACATACACCAAGTAGTTGTGTTGCACCTGGTTTGATTGGATTTCTAAAGAGTATTAAGGGTGACAGTGATTTGCTGGCCTTAGTATGTGTTTAGGGATCATTATTTGAGAGTGGTGTATTTTGTTGGTCATTTAGAGCACCTATGTGTAGGTGACTCTCCCGTACTATTGAGGTCAGTTGGCCTTCAGATTGTATATTTGTACATTTGATGATATATATAGTATTTTATCGTTTNCAAACCAATAAATCATTGAATAAATAACTTAATCGATTCGACGGTTCGAACTGAAAATCTTGGATTTATAGTACATTAATAAAAGTCGTAATACAATATTATTTTGTTCACATAAATATTAATCAAATAATATGTAGATATTCATAAATAATAGAACATGTTGTCATAAAGCATTCTTACTATTATTATTTAGAGTTCGGATCACATTACATTTATCGTAATAAAATACTTTTAATACTTAAATTTGTATTTAGTTTCAACAGTCGATTTGAATGATCAAACTGATCCATGATCTGATCACTCGAGATAAACTCATGTTTGTAGGCCCAAAAATAATAGGGTTGAATCATCTATTGTCCGTATCTTTTAATCAGTGTTGTTTTTCTTTTAGCCAGAACGTTAAACCTGAGCTTGTTAGGGCTACCTGCAAGTTGTTATTAATTAATATATTATCCCATAACTCGTTTATACTAATATGAATTTGATTTTAGCATATATATTTATTTCTTGATATAAAAAAAAATAATAGTTACGCTTATTCTTGTTCACTATATAATGTTCAATTATAATTTTCTTCTAAATTTGTTGTCATATAATGTCATTATTATTATATTATTTATAAAAGCTATAGAAGTAGTCTATTTATTTTTATTTCATGTAATAAAGAATATTTAATGTACGTTAATATATTTAATAATAATAATAAATTTAAAACTATGTATATATATATAAAATAAAATATTATGTATAAATGTTTCACAAATATATACACATGTGATTTTATAAAGTTTTTGTTCTTTATTGTATGTCATAATAATTAAGAAACGATTATATTATATATATTGAAGTTTGATACTTGTATCCCAAGTATTCAAAGTTACACACGATTAATCTAAATAGAATAAAGCTAAGATTCAAATGATATGCGGAAGCAGTATAAACAATTTTGAACCTTCAGGAGAGCGTCCCACTCTCCCTTCGGATCACTTTCATTAATGCAATCAACTCACTCATTTTTCAAGGGTTTACAGTATAGACTCCATCTACACTCTAGTTGAACATTGAATTGCACAACTACTTATCCGACCACAAATCCGTTGTGGTTTTCTTCATGTTTGACTCCCTCAAACTAAAACAGAATGAACCTCCGAATACTCTGTATTTTTTCCTTTTTACAGTGATCCCACTCACATACAAAATCACTCAAAATAAAATAGAAAACTAAAGACCAGGGATCAATCGTTCTCACTATTTAGCGAAATTTAGAATATAAAAAAAAAGTACTCCTTAATGCCATCTCGTCATCCTTTTATCCTCAACCCCATATGGTAAGTTCTTCCGCTATCTTCCCCGCCAAGTCATATCATCTTTTGGAAAGTCCAGGTTGCCCAAATCGTATCTCGCGCATATGGTAGGTAAGTGCACATGGAAGGTGGTCATAGATGGAGTGCGATTCACGATCCTTCTCTTGACCTGCCATAATAAAACATGTATAAGTATTGACCAATAACTAAAGTAATCAAAACTAATCCAAGTAATTTAAGACAGACTTCCCTTAAATGCTTTTGGGAAGTCTGAAACTGAGAACAGATGAGAGTTCTTCGATTTGCTGCCAAACCTCAGAACTTACAATCTCCCCCTTTGGCAGATAAATGGAAAACCTTTCTCAAGGACCTGCATGAGTCTTGCAAACATATACAATCTATTCAAACAGAATATGCATAAGGAGGTTGTTTATTTGAACAACATAAGATCCTGAAAAAACATTAGAAATCAGTTCATAATAAGCATTTCTAAACAGTCATCAAAAACAAAAAAAATAAAAATAAAAATAGTTCATGACATCACAAAACACAGCAAATAGCTTTTAGTTTTAGAAAAACATAGACAAGCCAAATGCATATCCACGGATCTAAGTGGATCCGCCTTCAGTGTCTTCATCATCAGAACCTTCACCAAATCCAACTTCAGTGTCCTCTTCTGAACCAACTACTTCTTCCTCAGAATCATCAGTTTCCTCCCCCATCTTCTTCAAGGTCTTCCTCCTCTTCACATTCAGCCTTCTCCTTTCCTTTGGCAGTAGCAGCAGCATCATCCACCTTTTCCTTGGTAGCAACCTCCTTCCTCTTTGTAGTAACGACGTTGGTCGGCCAACTTCTTCTCCAAGCCAGTGAGAACAACCACTTGTTGGTTAAGGAAACCATGGAGTTGGGAAGGTACATCAGATGCTTTGAAACAGAGGGAATACGAGGAACGGACTTAACCCCAGCCAGTGCAAGCGGTTTCATGGATAGAGAAAGTTCATCACCCACACGTGGATCCATTTTGATTCTCGCCTTCATTAGAATTGCATAGATAGTGGAGGGAAAAGGCAACAACTTGTGGGGTTTGGAAACCTCAGCAAAGAAGACAACATAGTAAAAAATGACGGTCCCCAAGTCAAACTGAGACCCACATAGGACACGATAGATCACCCTTGCTTGAATAGGCATCACAAATTTTTTGTGAGATCTTTTAGCACCTTACCGTCGTGGGGGAAAAATTGATGTAGGAGTCCAGTTTAAGGAGCCAATCTTCTGGAGTGCATTGGCTTGAGGAGTTAAGCTTTTCACAAACAGACCAGGGTTCAGCTATTTGCTCAATTTCCCCCCTGTCAATGTAGCCGCAACTTCATCTAGGTCATCATTCAGAGGCGTCATGAACAAGGATGAATTTTCCGGCAAACCCAGGACTGAATTTATCAAAGACGGAGAGAAGACAATGATGCTATTTCTAACGAACACCTTATGGAATTTCAAGGACTTTGAATCAGACATAGAGGGAGTCAATTTAGAGTAAAACTCAGCAATCAATTTGGGACAATATTTTCCCACATTCAACACAGAAGCTTCAAGACCTGCTTTCTTCAGCAACTCAATCAACCTAAGTTTCTCAAAATGATCAACCACAATTGTTCGTTTAGGACGAAACTTCATTTGAAAGACCACAGTCAAATAACGAAACTCAAACAGAGGAGAGTAAAATTGTCGGGAAAAAGCATTACCAATAGCAAGAGGACTATTAGGGCTATCATCCTCGGTATCTTCAATAGTTTTCTCATCCACAGGAGAAGAAGGTTCGTTGTCAGGAGCAGGAGGGTTGACGGATTTTTCTGGTTCAGTGGTGAACTTGTCGATTTCCTTCTCCGTAGAGTCGCCATCATCAACACTATCAGGTGATGATTCTCCACTAGACTTGGAATGAGAATCCACAGCAGTAGGAGCTTCAGGCGCGACGATGGTCTTCTTGGCCTTTTTCGGTTTTCCGGCAGTAACGGCGGCGACCTTCTTTCTCACTACTAACCGCAACGTCGGGAGTAGCGACCTTAGCTGTGGAGGACTTTTTGGGACTTGGGGAAACCATAGTTTCGTCAGGTTGAGAGGGTTGAGCTTTTTCGGTCGCCATGTCGGAAGGAGTGATATTTGGTGGAGTTTCTGTACTTTGGCTTTGACGGGTGAAACGCCGCGAAGGTTGAGGAACATTCTTCTTCGGTTTTACTTTTCCCTGTTTGGATTTTGGCATGGTTTCAAAGAGAAAAGCTTGAAACAGGTAAGGAATGTTAGATAAATTTGGGAGAGATGTGAAAAACTAGAGATTTGATTGATATGACAAAGAGATGAGAGAGTGGTGTTATGATAAGTATAGGGAAACGGAATTTCAGTTATCGAGACAAGTTACTATAAGACGGTTCAGCTTTACAATTTGAATTTTAAAACTTTCCCAACACTTAATGCACGAAATAAAACTGTTCCCTCCAAATACAAATTAACCAAAAATTTTGACACGGCTTACCATATATAAGCGCAACGAAGTTTCAGACTAAAATATGGTCGGATCTTAGTACCTAAAATAAATTGACACAATTTCGAAACTCAATTAATCACAAGGAAAATCTATGCACATGCCTAAATATTTTAATGATCAAGCAATAACCAAGATACTCCCAATCATACAATGTCGAAAGAATATTTCCATTAACTATTCTAAAGATCTTCCCTAACCAATTTTTTACAAGATCTCGACACTAACACAATGATAAGAATTTTACGAAACCAACTCAGCCCTTATATCTCCCATTTTATATACCACGGAATTAAAATAAGTTCATTCATCATTTTCTCTTAGCAAAGAACAAAAT